TGTAGGCGTGGTGTTGCATCTTTACCAATAGATCAACAGCGAATGAGATATCATGTCTAATGCAATGAGGCAAGTATAACAAAGCGCAAAGGTTGAACTCAGATATGGAACTTCAGATTCCATAACCTTTTCAAGGGTCTCATTTGCATATAGCGTATGGTAGATCATGTGTATACTCAAAGGTAACACCTTCGTGGTGTAGTTCGATTGGTAGCCCAAAATACCGTCAGAATAATGCTTGAACTTCATATCAAGGCTTAAACGAGTTTTTCCAAGATCCATCATCTCAAATTTTGTCTTCAGGTACGAGGCAATTTTCTCAAGCTCTTCCAGAGTCTTAGTGAGATTTATGTCAACGACATAAACTGCAACTATATCAATTTGGAATAAGACTTCATAGTTTAACACGCAAGGGGATTCATTCATATCCCTAATTGATCAAATAATCACTTAGATGGGTATACCACATCCGGCCACATCCGCCGAATTGCTTCAATCCATAAGTGAACGCCTTAAATGAGTTGATAAGGTGTTATGTGGTTTGGAATTATTTGAACCAGTCCATGTAATTCTTCAGGAACTTAGGCGTAAATCTCCAAATTAATATCCCCATGGAGAAGCACTAACCATATTCATAATGCTACTGTCAATCACAAACATTGCACTGTTTCGTTCATCTCATTACGCTTCATTTCTTACTTGTAACACAACCTTGGGCAGTGTAGGAACTACAGGTCCAAACACACCTTGATAAGGAATTTAACCTGGTTTGAGATTTCGGTTGTCTAATTAGTTCTACGTTGTCAATAATCAACAGAACACATTTTGATATCGTTGTTTTTCATTTATGTCGATAGCTAACATACAAGTGAAAACATCATCGATGATAATCTCATTCCAATTCCATTATCTCATTCACACTATTATATTGGACCAAGAACTTCAAGTCTCAGGAGTAATCCAGATTAATCTCATGAGATAAAACGATCGAGTATTCTTGCAAAGGCTCTAAGGGAGCTAGTGCGCAGGAGAATCATAATCGACAAAGATTCACATCCTTCTTTGAGGACCCATAACGGTGCAACTTGGCACATGGAATGCACACCCAAATGCGTAAATACAAAACGTCAGGTTTGTACCTAGTAACCAACTATAACGTCAAATAGGTTAGGTGGTAATGGGCCTCAAGGCAGACCAATATAGCTGCGTACAAGATTGCATAGCCCTAGACCGAAACCGAAAGCTTGGTGTGTTAACCAAGGTCCATGCGATCATTGAATTGCGCTTTATGATCACTCTGCAAGGTTGTTTTGCGATGAACATGGGAATTCGATGTTCAATTATAAACCCAAAAGACATGCAATGTTTTATCAAAAATCGTCTATATAAACTCTTTAGCATTATCTAGTCTTCTAGACTTTATGGGATAATTAGGGTGGTCAACCCTTAAAATCAACTAGGAGGTTTAGCAGCAATGTGTGTGGACAAACATGTGACCATTTTGTTCATATATCAACCAAAACCATAAGTATTTATATGGTCTACATTTTGGTTGGATTAGTCCACACATATTCTCTTGAATCCACTGTGAAAAGAGGGTGATTTTGTATCTTTGCAAGGAATGATAGAAAATCAAATTCCCTTTTACGAGTGGGCTTGGTGAAGTGTGCGTGTAAGCACAAGATCCTTACTTCGGGTAAGGAGATGTTTCGTAGCACCATTGTTAGACCTAAGTGTCCCAAAGTGTCGTGCCAAAGTAAGTAAACTACTCGAATCGTCCTGCTACAGGCCGGCCACATGTGGTGTGTTCCCAGTTGGGAGGCAGCATATTGGCCCTAAAATATGGCTTCGGGCTTTGTATTTTGGAGGTGGTGCAAAGATATTCCACTCTATTTTCCATTAGTGGTTTCATTCATGTTTATTGTCATCTCGAATATCCTTAAAACTCAACGACGTTCTTCTCAAACGAGGAGAATATAAGGTCTCTCAAATGGAATTTAGTACCATTCATACAATGAGGACCATGCCAATGCTCTTAATCAAGTTGGATAGACCTGAAGTCAGTTACTAGAGATGTGATTTAGGATAAAATTAGTGTGCATTGTATTGCATTCATCCAGACAATTAACTTTCCCACATTCGTACATAATCATGTGTTTAATTGAATTCAGTCACATGTATTAGAAACATGATTCAATTAACTCATATTTGAGGACAATATTGTTCAGATTATCCGTAACTAAAACAAACACCAAATGTGAATCCAAGAATATAGAAAAATGATCACAAAGTAAACCAAAGTTACTAAGGTGGATTCGGCCGACAAGTTTATTCAATTCAAAATTCTGCTCTTCCAACAATGTTCGGTGACTACAAGAATGGTACTCCTCAACGACATTGGTAGGGGCATGAACAGGTATGTAACCAATGATCTATTCCATTGAGACGGAAGTAGATTCTGTAGGGTTGAGGTTCGAGAACAATATCTCTTATTCTTGAAGTGTTAGGTCTTAGGTGCCGATCACACTTCAGGCGTGACACCACACCTTGGCAGGACCTGATTCTATCATATGTTGTAAAAACAAAGTCGAAATTAGATTGTGAGAGAGAGATAGACCCATACTTGGGTTCGATAGGCTCTAACCGAAACTGAAGGGGTCTATTTGGTAGGCCTCTGCTAAAGCAGAGCAATACCATATCTATCTGGCCTAGTTAAAGATATAATTGGAGAAAGTTAAAATAAAATTAATAAACATATTCAGGGATTGTTTGATTGAAAAGTGTTGGAAAATATTAGTATTTTGGTTTATTTGAATGTTTGGTTTTCTGGGTTTAGCCAGTTAGAATTAGGTTTTGTTAGAAATTAGGGTTAGTTTATTATAAATAGAGTGCTTTGTTATTCATTAGAAAAGAAAATAAGCTAGTCACAATGTAGTCTCTTAGGGTTTTGTAGTCGTTCCGGCATTCTCGTTTGTTTAATAATATTCCTATTATTTTGTTAGTCTTGTTCGTTGCGTACTCTGATATTCAACTAAGGCGAACCGAGTACACAATGAGGAAAGTCTGTCCCAAGTAACCGAAGATGGCATCTACTTCCTTCCGGACTCCTGGACACCCAGCTAGTTGTTTAAATTAAGTATGCTATATATCCTTGGCGTTCAACTATGTTAAAGAGCCACTCCATTTAACATGAGGCAACAACTTCAGCATTGTCACAGAAGCTACTGTTGGAACTGATGACCGAGATGAAGCCTCTTTCCAGTACGGAGCTGATTGAACAATAAAACGTAGTTGATTATTACCCGATGCTTCCGAGTAAGCTTGCACTCCATCACCTATATTGAGCACATTTACCAGATGCACCAGAAGTCAAGGTGCATTTTGTTTTTGATCTCCAGGTAACTGTAAACCTGCATGAATATACAAACCCATCTACAGAAAATCACACACAATCATACACGCTTTGAATGACAAGTTTTAAAGAGACGCGAGACGTCTAAAATCATAAACAATTACGAGAAAGTGAAACAAAGAACCAAATGCAAATATGAAGACAAAAATGTAAAAGCTGACCAAGGACCAAAATAGTGTACAACATATGAATGAAAACATCAACTGAAATTGATCAAGCAAAGTGATTGACAACAATGCACCAATGAAAAGCAGAGAACTTTCTGAAAAAAGGTTAACTTCGCCAAAATTAACAGCAGCTAGGAGAAGATTCTCCAAATCTTTAATTTTGGCAGCCTCAGCCTTGTCCAGAGTAGGAACAATTGGAATGCCTTGACAAGTTCTGAAACAGTAAGCTTTTCGAGTATCAGCCTACACTTTTTCTAACTCTCACCAACGCTCCAATCATATTAATCCTCTCCTACGTACACACAACGACTGAAACTTCTAGATTTGAATAGCATACACAAAATGCCTAAAACCCAGATAGAGAAAGAAAAAGAGAAAGAAATGAGGTGATTAACGTATTATTAATAAAGGATCTGATTAATGTATTAAGGGATTAAAAGTAGATATTGATCTTACTCAAGGTTTCAGTCTAGAAGTCATTTTTGTCAAAGATTAGAATGAAGTTTCCTATAAAAATATATTGCTCATAATTAATATAAGTTCCCATAATAAGAAATTCATATGTTATCATCTATTCTTCATGGGTGTGAATTTCACCATATACATGCACGTTAAGTACCTACGTTTTTATTATAGTTAAGTACTGAGACATATGTACCCAAACCTTTGCACTAATACATTTTTATCGTAACTTAAGTACCAATACATTCGTACCAAAATTTGTACTGAAACTTACTTACTATGAGCTTTCTTAATATAAGTTTTTTTGTATTGTTTTTAATTATAAGAATTTGAAGTTTGAATAAATTTTCATCTATTAATGTAATTGGAGCTTAAACGAAATACATTAATTGTGGAATGGTAAAGAATTTCGGATAGTGAGTTTAAAAATAATAAATGTGTTATAAGTATTTAAACACGGTGAGTCTTAAGTGGACTTGGATTCTCTGCCCTCCCCGTGCCCTCCTGTTTGTGTGGTCACGGTTAAGCCACGTCAATATTTTATATTACTATTTTTTTTTTTGTCTTATTATTTTTATAAAAAATAATATAAAATGTTAGCATAGATTAACCGTGACCACACAAAACAGGAGGGCACAGGAAGAACACCGAAATGGGAGGGCAGAGAATCCAAGTCCGTCTTAAGTAGGGACTTGAATTAGATTTAGAATACAATTCAGCCTGGAATTTAAAGAGAATCTTATTTGAGCCCTAAAATTTAAAAGCCCATAAAATTTATTTTCCTAAATAATAAACTACTTTTCCTATGAACCCTCTTCACCATGACTGCAACTACAAGCTCAGACTGCGAGAATTCCGGCTCCTTAGCCATGTCTTCAACTAAAAGCTCTCCAGCGTGCGCGGAAATCACCATGACTGCAACTAAAAGCCCAGACCCCGAGAATCCCGACTCCATAGCCATGTCTGCAACTGAAAGCTCTCCATCGTGCGCCCAAATCTGTTTGGCCGTCTTTGTGACTGCTCTTTTACTCATGCCTTTTCCTGTTATAATTGGGCTCCAGATTCGGACCAGAAATAGAATGTCGGAGTACAAATGCCCTGACTTCACCATGAGCGGTGCTTATCTCAGCGAATTCAATTACACCGAAAGCAATCGTACTCTCTCATACAACCTCGCCCTCAACATCACTCTCACAAACCCTAAGAAGAAACTCTTCCACGCGTTGATTGACATCAAAGTCGGTGCATACTATCAAGACAAGAGAATTGGTCAGGTAACGTTGATGGATCAGTGGATGTCGACGCCCAAGAACACAAACGTTTTTCAGAATGTAGTCGTTCAAGGGCACGATATGTTGTTTCAGGAATCTGTGACCCCTGCAGCTGATCTTTACAGTATCGACGTGGTCATTGCTTTCCAGGACGAGAACAATGATCGACGGGGTGAGGTCATTTACAATCTAAGGCTTCCTTTGAGTTCCAACGGGAGATCTTGGGATGCCGACAAGACTGCAAACTGCCCCATATATGATTAAGTTTATGGGAAACTTCATTGTAATCCTTGAAAAACATCTCTTTTAGACTTTAAACCATGTGTTTATACCAGTTTTTCCCTATATTAAATTTGGGATTCAAAATTTAAGCATCTTTTTTCCTAATAATTTAATTTGTGAATTTTAAATCATTGATTTGTTAAGGAGAAATTAGGATGCAATCCCCAACCACCAATACCCTTTGATTGAAATCCTATTGATTTTAAATTTTTTATCAAAGTCCTATTTTATACACATTAGCATATTTACATTTAAAACTTAATGCCACCCCTAAATGTAATTAATTCATTTCTTTTCAAAATTTCATGAGATTATTGAGAAATAATCTTAATAAATGTGTTATTGTTGCAATCCTATTAGATTATGAATGTGATTGTGTAAATCCTAGTGTATCTAGGGATATCTTGAAATATTCCCTGAGGTTAGATATTATCCTATTAGAGTTGTAATCCTATTAGGATAAGAATTTAACCTACCCTACTACTATAAGTAAAGGCATAATGGGGTGATACAACACACACCTCAGAATTACATATCTCTCTTCTCTCTATTGACGTCGGCCCTCTCCCTCTCTAGTCCTAAAAATAGCTTAGTAAATTGGGCCTACAACACGTTATTAGCACGCTCTTGCCAGAAGCTAAGGAACTGAATGATCATGGAGGAGGCTCTTGTGCACAATCAAAGGCTTAATCATTTTTTGCCAATCAGGTTCTTTTAAAATAAATTAAGATATTTGAAACGACCTTGAAGCATGAAAACATTCCTCATGATGCATCAACCCCCTATATTTATATTTTCCTTTTAGTTATATATATGGCATATGTGTTCATATATTTTATCAATATATATATATATATATATTTGTTCATGCAATACACAATTATGCTATGTGAAACTTGTGAGTCAAAGCATCGAAATTAATTTAGAAGCAAATAGGTTTTTTAACCCTAGAATTTTGAAAAAAAAAAGGGGGGGGGGAAACTGAGATTTCTCGCTACTCCACGCTGCACCGTCAAGCCAACATGGCTGGCCTGCAGCCACGCCATCACAAGGATAGCGTCGTGTCGACGCCATGGACCACCTCACAGCAATCCCGTGGGCTTGCTGCCCCTGCCAAGACAACCAGGCTTCAAACTGGGTTAGGTTACACAGGCCTAAAGCCCTGAGCCCACCAGCAAGCCTGCAACCTTGCTGGACCGTCCCCTGCATCTTGGCCCAACCCGCAAGCAAGTCTTATGCTTGCTGGGCTTTGTCCTAGCTCTGACCTGCCTTCAGCAAGCTTCGGCTTGCTAGGCTTGTTTCCCCATAACCCACAACCAAGCTAGCTCTCGTTGGGCTGCACGCACCCATCCCAGGCCAGCTCCGTGCTAGGCCTGTGCACTAGCGCCTGTTGTGGCCCAAAAACCAGTAGCTTTGCTGCTGGGCCTTTTTCCCTGTAATGGCCCATGGCTTGTAGCCTATCCCGTGGCCCAATAGGCTTTTAGGGCCTTGTCCCGTACACAGCTTCTAGCCTACTGAGTTGGGCTCCGTTTTTTTTCGAACCCAATGCTATTTTTGGCATTCCCGCTAATATTAACCCGAATTGTATTATTTTGCTTCTATGATCAAACCTGGATGGTTACGATCTATTAAATTAATTAAAGTGACCAGCAGTCTATTAATATGACAATTAATCCAAAATTATTGGCTTGGAGCTCACTTTTTGGCAATTAACGATTCAATAAACTATTTCTTTTCTTAGAACCATTGACTATCTTTGTATTGAAGCCAATAAAGGTTTTGTTAGATTAGTTTCAAGGAGTAAAGACTCCTTGATTCTTACTTTATTAGGACTATTGAATTACTTATATCACAAACAACTTGATTAACACGTTATTTGCAATCCAAATAGATTCATTGGTATTCATGAACTTTACAGGAAATGTTTGTGGCCATGGACATATTTGCCCTCAACGTTACAAGCAGTGCAAACATTGGATGTGTTGGTGGCGTCTGTGGCATAATCGTCAAAGCATTTGACACAAGTAAAATAAAACTCCCTTGATAAATTTTTTGCACTGCCCGTTACAAAAAAGGTTTTCCACTGTAAACAATGTAGAAGAGAGTCATCACGTTCATGAAATCAAGCTCTTCATGTCCTTCCTTCTTTGGTTCGTGGAAAAAAAGAGGTTACTCAGATGCATGCAACCTTCATACATCTCCATGTATGCCAAGAACTCCTGCAAGCTCACTCGGTCATTCCAGCACGGTCCATTTCGGAGAAAAACTCATCTGCCGCCCGTTGGATTTGCTCCAGCGCATCCTTGTAGTATGCAAATGCTGTTTGGCGTAAATCCTTCATTTTAAAACTTATGTTCTTGATTCTTAGATATGGACTAGCAATTGAGCCCCTGTGAGATGCCGCAAGTTTTAAGACCGTTTAAAGTGATATTATTTTACATATAATATGTCCACACTAAGAAATGTTTTTAAAGTGTTATTTACAAAGAGATGATACTATTTACAACTAGCTCAAATCACATTGACAGTCTGCTCTTTGAGGAAGCTTTCAACAAACATGAATAGTAAAATGGACAAATCAATAGGTTGTAGGAGATGAATGCAATCAATTTGGATTTACCATGAATGGATTAATGAAGAATCGATAGTAACTCTAAACATGATAGTCATACAGATTAGAAAGTCATCCATCTATAAGCCAGCCCTCATAAATTCATTCGCTTCGACTATTCTTCTAATGTTTGATAAAGAAAGCGAAGTTCCTGTAGGTACTCCCTAACCATATGAGCAATAAAGTCTTTAATTTAAAAGGAATCCCAATTTTCTCGACATAAAAATAAAAAATATATATATAAGCATTACTAATCACTGTATCTGCAAAACCAAATCTCCTTTTTTGTACGCGCTAAAGTACACATATGAATATCAAAACGGAAACCTCAAATTATCATAGCATTCCCTTTCTACCTTAATTTCTAAAAAAGGAAACACAATGGAAGAAAAAAAATTCAATAATTTTATCTTGTAAGTCATTGCTAAAGAGAGTCAAAAGCACTTCAATTATGGAAGGAGGGAAAAGGGGTGCAAATAACTGGTGCTAAATACAAATCACTGCCTAGTCATCAAATCTTTGTAAGCAAACATTAGAAAGGTTTAGGATCTAGCATGATAGTTTAAGTTACTTGAGATTTTTCAATGTTCGCAAGCATTCTGCTGCTATATAAATTGACGGATTCTTCAAAAGAATATAATTGGTGTGTACTTATACATAACACCACATAATTAGCCTTAAAATCAATATGCATAACTTAATAAACTTGCACGACACTCATTTTACTACTTACCATTTTAAACATTGGCTCTTAAGATAAGAGATGTAATGGTGACTTCTTAGCCTTATACGATGCATGGTACCTTAGATCGCAGAATGTACAAAACTCTATGAATGTCCAAAATTCATACTTATATAATCAACAAAACCCCAGCAAAATGTTTTATACATTAGTTTTCGATACTGCTAACAAAATGCACATGTTTATACAGGGAGTTACAACAAAATGTAAATCTTGGTATTCTTCCCTAAACCGTAGAAGCCCTCCATACCTAAACTTTTTTCAATCTACCCCGAGTTAGTAACGATCTACTGTAGGTTCTTTTGGTCTGGATAGCAATTGAATGCAATCTGAGCGTGAAGGGTACCTGATGCATGGTGGTTTAATTTTCATCTGCTGCTTTTTGAGCGGAAATGGACTAATTCTTGTCTTGAGCTTAATGATATCAAATTCAGCTTGGTCCCAAATGTTAAAGACATCTTTGCAAGTAAAAAGCCAATTGAAAGTTAAAGACATCTTTGCAGGTAAACAATAGTTTAATTAGTAGTAAGATTTGATCAGCTCTGCATCACAGAGGTGGGAGCACCATATATAAAATTAGGTCCCTAAATATTTTCAGCAAACTAAATGACAATATTCTTAATACGGAAACTACATTATGGTTCGTAAGAAATATTCTAAGCTAGAACTGGCCTAAAATTGAAATAAAGAAGTGTTGTTAGAAATAACGATTCCGGTATGTTTTGGTCCTATAATTACTCACTCCCAAATTATCAAATTCTAAATACCATTTTCTCAAAAACTTGCATACAACGGCTATCCATCTTAGTAGTTGTAAACCAATTCATTCTCAGCTCAGTTTTGGTCCTATGATTACTCACTCCCAAATGTGATTGTTATTCTGTGTGCAAAATAAAATTCACTAAAATTTAAGGCTGTGAACATTTATTCATCACAAAGTTTTCATACCTATGCTGTTTTTAAAACCTTTTGATTAGTAATACAGAATTGAATGTGAGCTATTCTATTTGGTAGGAACCAATAAACTCAAAAATGCCCAAGAAGCAGAAGCTCGAAGACAAAATAGAAAACAAAAATCCATTGGGAAAGAGGAAGTTTTTGCCGGGGATATCACAAATTTAACAATTACATTTGTATGTGTGCAAGATTTGGTTTTATACAAGATGTACATCTCTGTACAAGAGTCCAACAATTTACAGCTAAATTTTTACTTACCTGAAATCAATACCATATTTCATGCGCCTTTTGCTTAGGGGATGTCTAAACGATTCCTACCTTTTAGTTTAAAAGAGTTTTTATCACAAATAGTGTCTGAAATTGATTCAACTCATCAAAATGTTGTTTGAAATTAAACATTGATCAATGTATTCTTTGAAAATAAGTGTCGCAAATCAAAGTCGTCATTCCGTTATAATTCCGTAAAAATATTTGTTATGTAATGGTGTGGCACATAACTGAGACCAACAAATCTAATTAAATATTGCTATGTGAATTTAAAATATTTAAATAATAAAAAAATTTGTTTATATAATTAAAAACTTAAAAAAAAAAAAAAAAAAAAAAAGAAGATGACTGGTCATTATCTTCTCCTCCTCCCATCCGAGTAATCATAGGAGCAGACTCGTCGTTTGCTCCTCTACGAGCACTGCCTTTGAGGCCGACCGAGCTCCAACTTCCGCCAATCCGTCCAATCTTTTACCTTTTCGGGTTGGGCACGGGTTCGACCTGCACAAGCTGGAGCTCAGGTACCCTCCGATCAAACCTCATGGCAGAGGCTGGGATGCGCATTGCGACGGTAATTCCTCCATAAATCTGCTTTTTCTTCCCATAATTTCACATTTTCTAATTTATTTTTTACATTTTCGATATATTTTTTGAAGTTTGGGGATGTGTTGCTTCATTGTGTGGTGGATGCGATATTCGGGGCTTTGGGGCTTCTGGATATTAGGCATATATTTCCTGATTCAGAGCCGAAGTGGAGGGATGCAGCTTCCTCGGGTGGAGAAATTTTTCATTGTGACAGAACCTAAGTGGTACACTACGTGTTTTTATGTAAGTGGTGAGAATTTTTATATTTTAAGTTATTAACTTTTTAACACACATATTCCACAATTTATATAGTAACATATGGTGTATTACCCCGTGTATTGGTCACACTGAAAAATCTTTCCCTCGAGTGAGAGAAGAAGATGAGAACAACTCCAGGTTTGAGGCCTCTTAGGTTTAGATTATACCCTAATTTCATTAGCCAGTAAATGCTTCTGTGACTTTGTTCTTATTAGTAAATTCTTTAAACAATGGATTTTTTTCCAATTTAATATTGAGAAAATAAACAGAAATACAGAGGTTCTCGAACTGAATCCTCAGCCCTTTGGCGACTACTTTGCAAAAAAAGCAGCAAAATTAATAATTTGAGATTGAATTCACAAATTAAAAAAAAAAGTAATTGCAGAGGGATCGAAAATTGAAATCACTCCTAAGTAAAGCTCGAAGAGATTGGATTAGGGTTTAGGAATTGAGGATTAAGGAATCTCGTCGAAAACTGAATTTTCAAAGAAATTTTTCCATAAATGTATTAGCTTCTACAGGAAAGACTGGACAACAACTTACCTTTGATTCACCTTGAACCGTAAAGAATCGAGGCATGCAACGGGTGATTTTGGTTTCTAAGATGAAGGTTAAACGACTGGCTGTAACAATAAGGTCTGATCGCCATCGTTTGGCCAGAAACAGCTCGCTGGACTTCAGGCACCAACTTAATAATAAAAAACGGCCAATAATTTCTAGAAATAGATTTGAGGGTTACATTGAAGTGAGAGAGGTATGTTTTTAGTTGGTTTGTCGGTCTGTAGTCACTGGAAACGGCGAAATCATCGCCGACCACATACAATGGTGAGTCGTGGAGTGAATAGCGAGAGGGAAGGGCGAGAAGGGAGACAAAGAAAAGGAAAAAAAAGAGTTTTTCTATATTTTCTCAAACAGTAGCTTATGAACAGTGATTCAGTGTGTTTTTTATTTTAGTTGCACTCAGGCAAGGCAGAAAGTGGTATATATATTATGGATTTGAGGTTAAGTTTCAAGGAACTTTCTCATGTGATGTGACTAATTACGCGCTATATAAGGGGAGGTGGATTGTCTGCCCTCCCATTTCCATACTCTTCCCATCCCCTCCTATTTGTGTGGTCACAGTTAAGCCACGTCAACATTTTATATTGATTTTTTTATAAAAATAATAAAACAAAACGTAATATGAATATAAAATGTTGACATGGCTTAATCATGACCACACAAAACAGGAGGGGATGAGAAGAGTATGGAAATGGGAGGGCAGACAATCCGCCTCCTATATAAGGTCGGTAGCATTAGTCATCAGTGGTGGGGTTTCGTGGAAAAGGATCCGGTGAGGTTTCGTGGAAAAGGATCCGGCGAGGTTTCATGGAAAATGATCCTTACCGGATCTTTTTCCTGGGGATCCTAGAGATTCCGTAATCGTGATCGTTTATCATACATATACGATCAGAAATCATTTCAAAATTTAAAATTTAAAATTAAATATAAATAGTACCCAGCGAAAACTGACCGCACGATGTACGATGAACAATCACAATCACGGGATTCCTAAAAAAAGATCCTTATTCGGGTTTCGTCTTCAAACTTGAAGCTTCCAAACAATAAGGAGCTTAATTACGTGCTACTTTCATTGAAAACAAAGAAAAAACGTGTTACTTTTAGGTTTAGGCTAATTGTTTATACGATGAGTTTTGATTTTGATGTAATTTTTCGCTTGAATTTGTAACTGTGTGATTTTTCTTTTTCTTTTTATTTGGTGTCACATGTTATTCAATTCCAAAATTATTGATTTGATTGGTGTAATGTTTCTTCAAAATTCGAAGTTTTCTTTATTTTGACTTTAGTTTCACAATAGTCAAATTAACGATTTTCTTGATTAACTAATTAAGTTGGGGCACCAAATCAACCTATAGGAACAAAAGTTACACAATTTGCAAGTTGAGAAAGAAAAATAAAATATCAATGAGACATATAAACAAAAAAACCTTTCAAGTAATACGTAATCTAGTACTGGTTTGGTACTGAGATGCTTTTATAAAAAGTGGGTATAAAAAAAAACTAAGCTCAAAAATGTGTTTCGTAAACACTTAAAAACAACTTATTTTCACAGTTTTTGGTGAAAAAGCTAAAAACGTGAAGCAACAAAAAGAGCTTATTCTCACCGCACAACAGAAGCAGTTTTTTTTTTCAAAGTACAGCAATACCAAACCAACCCAAATCTAATGTACATATATTACTGCAACCGCCATTGTACAAGTTAAGGGACAATACTAATCTGGGTTGGCCTGCCAAATTGTCAACTAAACTCAATATCGATGATTAAACCAATTTTAAAACATGGTGAAAACATAAAACTTAAAAGCCACACCTTAAAATTACTTAGATCCTTTATATCATAGAAATACTTGATGTTTTGCTCCGTGCACAAATCCCTCAAGATATCCACATTACGGTTCGCACGTTCATCAGTTGTAAATATATAATGGTCAGGTATGATTACAACCTTTTCACGGTTCCAAACCTGCAATTTCAAAATAATGAAGCACTGTTTATACCCCATGACAACAAAAACGTTGACTATCAGAGTGCGCAATGAACGAGACTAATAAAATAGAAAGAATATTATTAAACAAATGAGAATGCCGAAACGGCTACAAAACCCTAAGAGGCTACATTGTGACTGACTTAATTCTCAAACTAAATTACAAGCTTTATTTATAGAGAATTAAACCTAAGGAATCCTAACTCATATGGGTTAGTCTCAAATCCTAAACTAACAAGGAAAACCCAAATACTAAAATAAACCTAAATACTAATATTTTTCAACACCCCCTGTCAACTCATGGCGGAACACAGACATGAGTTTGCCAAAGTAGATGTGGATGCAAAGCTCCAAATTCTAATGTCGATGCCGATGCCAATGCCGATGTTGATACCGATGCTAATGCCAATGCCAATGTCAATGCCAATGCCGATGCCGATGCCGATGTCAATACGAATATCAATGCCAATACCAATACCAACTTCCAAACAAACAATAAAAAAATCCAACCAAATAAACCATATATTTCTTTCTGCCTGTGTGGGCCTTCAAACAAAAAACCAACATTTTTTGTCTTTATTCTTTTCTACCTTTTTTTTCCCCTTTTTTTCCCTATTCTTTTTTTTCCTTCAAACAACACGTCTTCTTTCTTTTTTTCTTTTTTTCTCTATCCTTCTTCCTGTATTCTTCTTCCAACCTCTTTTGTACAAACAAACAGCAACTTTCAAGGGTGCAGCAACTGGTTCGTGCAGATGGTGGTGGTGAGTTGAACTGATGCAAATACAACGGATCTTGTACTGGTGCAAGAGTGGTCTAGGCAGGCCTGGATGCAGTGATGCAACGGTGGGGCTGGAGGGATTCGAATATGCAGGGAAGCAGCGGATTCAACGGGTGATGGAATGGACAAATAAATTGTAGTAGCAGGTGCATGCAGATGCGGATGGTGGTTCAACGGTCCATATGCAGAAATGTTGTGGGATGCGAGTCAGGTGCAGGTCATAAGCCGGAGTACAAGACAAGAATGAACGACGACAAAGGCAAACAATTGATACCAATGAGAAAGGATTGAACCCTAAGGATCGAACCCACCCTGATACCAAGTTGAATATCAAAGTGCGCAATGAACAAGACTAACAAAATAAAAGAATATTATTAAACAAATGAGAATGCCGAAACGGCTACAAAACCCTAAGAGGCTACATTGTGACTAACTTAATTCTCAAACTAAATTACAAGCTCTATTTATAGAGAATTAAACCTAAAAAACCCTAACTCAAATGGGTTAGGCCCAAATCCTAAACTAACAAGGAAAACCTAAATACTAAAATAAACCTAAATACTAATATTTTCCAACACTGCAGTGATTACAAAATCTCAGATATGAAAGATAGACCTTTTCAATAATAGTAATCAACACACCTTCAGAGATGATGAATAGTGATCTAAACAAAGAAAATATGCCATCAAGCAATGAGTTAAATGCAAATGAATTCCTTCTTTCTTTTATTTCTGTGATTGGTTATGGTTATCAACAAACAAAGCAGTAAGAGAGGACTTGTAAGTTGATATGTTGTATTGGCCTCGCATACATACAAGAGGTTTACCAGCAGAAACGGGCATGTGGACTATGACAACAAAAAAACAAAGACAACCTTCTCATTGCTGCCGTCCACAGTTGGGTTGGGTCAAGCTACGATGTGATGCTAATGTTCCTTGACTCTTGCAGTGATGCGCAGAAACCATTTGGGACATATTCATGCAGAATGTTTTTTCGCGAAGCTGGCCTAACCCGACACATAGAAGTAGATTCTCTAATGTGATCATTACCATTGCCAGATGAGTCAACGACAACACGACTCGATCAATGAACGTATTACTTCTAACTAAATATTTATGCCAACCCCTTTTCCTTGTTGGTTTGTACAGCATGTCTAGATCAGCAAACTAAGCTATTCAAAACCGACAAATATGGCTTCCGATTTTACTGCTAGTCTCTTGGATTTTCTCATGCATTTCTGACTGGAAATCGGCGCTGAAGAGGAGAAAGCAGAGATATTCAGATCCTTCTGATGTTCAAATCAAATTCAGCAATGGTTTAGTGAAAACCAAAAAAAAAAAAAAAATGGAAGAAAAAAAAGTTGGAGCCAAAAAAGCAAAAGGGACCTTGTTACTGATGAAGGAGGTGGACGGCAGAGAAGCGGTAGAGCAGGCCATGGGTATTGCGGCGAAGCAGAAGAAGAACAAAGTGAAGAAAAAGTGGAAGAGTTGTGTTCCGGTCACAATGAAAATTTTTTCTGGCAACTGAGAACCTTGTGTTTTGGAGTGGATATGTCACCGGTACACGAGATAATATACGACGTGTTACTATACAAATACTGGAATATGTTTGTTAAAAAGTAAATAACTTAAAAAGTAAAACTTTCTACCACTTTTATTAAAATATGTAGTGTACTACTCCTATTCCGGTCACAATGAAAAATTTCTCATTTGCTGAGGGGCGTGTGTTTTGGAGTGGAAGTGACTGTAAAGCA